GAATATAATAAATAAATAATGGGTCAATATTACAAYTATTTACACTTTTTGTTATTAGTATAAGTAACACCTTATAAAAACATACTCTACAAGATATCGCATRATAAAATACCCAAACGTCTTATAAAAACTTCATGGCCACTCTAAGCCCCATTCATAGCCTCTGGACAAATCATCATTTTTGATCGACATGTACAAAAATCTTGGATGGAAACAGTAATGGAAAGGCTAGGCAACAACTCGAGCAGGCTTATTTGCCAATGCTAGATTTTTAAACACAGCGTCCAACCCCCAAAAAACGGCCATTATCTGAGAATCTTCAGTWGGAACATCGCGCGCACAATCATACATTTTTTAGGACCCAGGGTAATCTGCTGTACAAATCTGCTGTTCCGGATGAAGACGGTCAAAATGTCGTCGCGTTGGAAAAAGGCAATTGATGTACCAGTTAATAACTTTTAGTCCTTTCGCCYCATGTAAGATAATCCGGAACGGGTCTGGATTCCTGCTCCTCTGTCCAGGATTCTGGACTCCAGTCGCTCGGATTACGGATTCTAATCGGTAATAAATCGGGGAGGGATTTTTGGGAGGGCAGAGAAACGGATGTACACAGGCTACTAATCGGTGGATGTTTCCTGGATTTCGGGATTCCAAAGATGATTCCGGATCCGGAAGTTATATAATTTTTCTCCGGATTTCGGATTACCTAACACGGGGCGAAGTCCTTGTCTCTCATGTCATGTGTCGGGCACTCGATTCACTGTGAAGAGTCTCTCCACTCTACAACTAATCGCCTAAAACGTGCTGCCGAGCTGGGTCTTTGCGTCTTTGCAGAGTTCGGTGGTGATGGGATAAGCTTCCCTGTCCCGGGAGGGGACGGGTTCATGACGGAACTTCCTGAAGAAACTCGAAAAGATCGTGACGGCTTTGAGCCTTTATGTTGTCTTTCTGGCGGTGACAMCGGTGGTCTTGGTACAGTTGGTTTGTTGGGAGGAACTGCTTTTGGTTTTGATTCCAAAYGATTTTCATGCACTGAGTTTTGCCTGGAATTCGATAATTTTTTGTCCGGGAACCTGAAAAACAACGGGAGTTTTATGGATGGGCAAAATAGTAAAAATGGATAGATGAATAATTCACTGGCAATGCTTCTTGATCTACTAGCTAATTTCGTGGTCATTTTCTAGTTTGTCATCTTCTCTTTTGTAGTGAGGTTGGTGATTTTTCACGCTTAAAAGACTGTGGCAGAATGAATAGGATTGCGCACAAGCTGAAGCAGTGCCTCTGCAGRAGGTAGAACAAGGGTGAATAGTGCTATCCATCGGCAAAATATGTGTTGTACACTACTGTTAGAACAAAGATTGTGATTTGCTAAAATAACAAAAAGAGACAGGCAATACAAAAGGCGAAGATGTCCAGTAGAACAATAGACATTGCCTGACATAATCCTCCAATTCTTTGTTTTTGTTGTCTCGATGAATCACAAGCTTAAAAGGTCTTTTTTTTTGTTGTTCAATTTTAAAATTATTTTGTTATGTTTTTGAGGTCATTTTGGTATTATGAAGTGCTCATACTAGCAGCCAGTTCTTACACACTATACCTGTGCATTGAACTAATTTAGTTAAACATTTAATTTAGGTCCGTATTATTAACAAAACGAGCCCCCCCCCCCCCCCCCCCGCCGTTTCTAAGGCAGCCTACGGCCCTGGAAAGCCATACAAAATCTATGTAGTGGATAACTTTATCCACCCTTCCTACAACTGTACTCAGCAGTGGTTATTTTTAACGAAATTTCATTACTGCCACGCCCATCGATGCAGGACTCGGTTGAACTAACCTTGGAGTGACGTTGGTAATWGGTGCGTTGCTGTTGAGTAGCTCTTTTTCTAACTTTGTCCCTAAATCTCTTAAATCTTCCAATAAAAGCAAAAGTACTGGTAAAATAGAAATAGGTAACGTAGAGATGTAAGCTTGTCATCACATAATAATATCGTGATTACATTTAAGTCTAGGAGATAGGAGACTTGTACCCTACTCTTCAGTTTTTCTCTGGCGCGCGCAAAGGATTAAGGGAAGTTGGAAGAAAAAGTAACCATTTCTTTCTGCGAGTTCGGACTTCCCTTGATGCAACTCAACAAGTAAAAGGAGCAAGAGAAACGAAAGGGTACAAGTCTGGAACAAGTCCTCGTACACACATCTAGGTTGTATATATTATGTTCTTTATCAAATAATCATTGTTTTCTCTAACTGTTACAGACGTGAAGCAAAACAATGTTACAGACTAACCTTTTAGTGACGGCTCCGGGTCTGGCGAGGATAACACYTGTTGTCTATAGTCAGATTCCTCAAACAAGCATTCCTTTAAACATAGCACAAAAAAATCATCAGTACTGGTGAGAGCAGTCAAACTATCTGGCATGTTGTACCTGTAAGAAGTTTATATCATCTTTTAATCTGCTTCTTTCTTGAGTTAACATTTCCCTAAACAAAACCATGAATGAGATGTTTGTTTCATTGTRTTTCTCAGTATAAAAGATATTGTGACATAAACCAGAAGTAACTTAGGAATTGAAAAATATTCTTTAAGAAAATGTACTTTTCCAATGGACGAGCAATTTTTCTTGACTCCAGGTGAATGTAATCTCTTGATATTTGCCATCTAAACTCCATCAGGGCCCTTAGACCTTGTTTCCATTCATTTGTTTTCTATTGTTTTCAACTCACTTCCGGCTAACGTCAGAAGCATCTATTCAGACACTTTGTCGTGTAATTTAATCAGTTAACCAGGCACTTTTTTGTCAATCAGTTAAACAGACATTATTGCTATTGTAGTCAGTTAGTTAACCAGACAATTCCTGCTTATAATTATTGACTGAATGCAACAGTTAACTTAATATTTGACTGAAAGCAACAGTTAACTTATTTGTCCTGATTTTCSGTCATTATCTCACTGTAATTCATCAGTGTTGGAGTTATAAAACATTTGCATGATAAGTTGTTTACAACATGTGTCCTTGTTGTATGTGCATTAGATTACATTATCTCTCCCCTGTGGCTCTAGATTGTAATTTCCATACAACATGGCCACTCATACATGTATGACTGAATATAATGTGATAATACCTTAGATGTTCAGCTATTCTGTCAATCTCCAATGCATTGAGATTTTCATTCATAGACTCTAGATGATCACTCATTGATGAAGCATAGCTGAAAAAAAAAATTAAAAAGCATTCCAGAACTCATATATCACGGCAATCCTAAACATGCATTGTATTGTACATTGCAAAGACCTTGGTAATCGCTTCATTACCTACTGCCATCACTTTTGGGAGTTGCCCTCATTGGTGTTTGGCGGCCATCACTAGAGCTACGTGCAGTGGATGGCCTACTGGATGATGCTGATGATCTACTTGTTGCTGATGCTGGTCTGGTATTCATTGGTAGTAACACTATAAATAAGAAAAAAAGTGTCTTTTTAATATTAACTACAAACAGAGATGTGTGCAACAATGTGTGMAACACTTTGCACTATTAAATGTACTACTAAATAGTGCTAACTTAATCAAAGAAAACAATGGCATTAGATTTCAAAAGTATTCAGCTGGTACACTTAATTCATGATTGCCACACTTTTACTGACAGGCAAACTGGAGAAACTTACTTTGCTCATCCATAACATATTCTACAATGCTTGAATCTTTTTCACTGAGAATATTTGATACTTTTCTAGAAAGAAAAACCAGTAAAATTTTGCAGCAAATAACATTTAACAAGATTTTATGAGACAACAAGATGGAGGTTTTCAATTCAAGATCAAGACTCCGAATTTTGCAAAAATAGATTAAATTATTTTTGTTACATGAAAAAGACTTTATATAGTGCACACGTTCGAGTTAAAAAAGTAATAGTTTTAAGGAATTATTCTGAGGCGTGCAAAATTAGCTGGAAAATGAAATTTGAAGATCTTGATGCAAATCTTACTTGGACTTATAGAAACTGAGGGCAAGTGTTCTTTTCGTCTGATTAATAGATGTATTGAACCGTCTCCTTGCAGGGTTTTGAAGACAAACAATAGTCTCCTTCATGGGTTCCCTGTGCCATCGTGAAAGGCAACTGTGCCTTTGCATTGAAGCAAGATAGCTATTGTGTATGCAATGAAAGATACCTGCTAATAATTGCCTGGTTTCTATCATTCATCACTTAATGGCCGATGCAAAGGCTTGGCTACCTTTCAAGGTAACACAGGAAATCTTGAAGGAGACTATTGGTTACTATGGTTACCTTCCATTGTCGCAAGCCTTTTGTTGCAGCAGTTCCACAAACATTTTCACTTCCTTCTTTAAGTTTTCTCTCATCATTGGAGGCTCTGGAAGTTTGCTGAGGTGCTGATTTAATGCTATATCTAAACAAGTAATATGCAATCAAGGTTTGTAAAAATTRTGTAYTCGCAAAGATATTTAAACAGAATTTCAGATACTCAGTGCAAAACGTAAAAGTGTGACCACTGTCGATGGATTTGCATACTTTTTTCTTGCTTATTAGCCAATCACCATTGTAGAATTGTGTTATTTTGTCTTGTATCAAGACACTAATAGAGAGGAYTTCCTATGACTGAGCAAAAAACACGGTACTTTTGTGCTGTGACCGTACCGTGCCATCATACCGGTGATGTATTGTTAAATCTTTATTTTTATTTGGAATCCTAGAAGGCGAGGTTCCGTGACCGTGCCGTGCCGTATCCGTGTTGTGATCTGTGCCGTTGCACAGTCATGTGAAATCTGCTTTATTGTCATGAGTAAGTCTGAGTCAATTAGGAAACCAGACAATGTTGTCCTCTAAGTCAAAGAGTAAACTTTGCTGTCTAAGTGAGTCAGCTGGCCTGACAATGGTTAGATGGCGAGACAGAAGTTTGCAAATATATTTCCAGTTTCCACAATTTTGCATATTGCACTGTAAGATAAATTGTCACTTACTTTTTTCCTCTTTGTCCGTTTCATCACGATAATCTTGCCATATTTGCAACAATGACGCTGCCTTTGTTAAACGAGTAATCAAAGACAGAACTTTAGATTAAGGTATGGAGGGTTTTTGTTTAAATTTTGGATGAATAAACATACAAAAAAAATCATTAGAAAATTCAGATTTTTCAATCACTATATACCATTCCTTGATCACAATTTTCTCTGCATATATCCCAAATAATTCCAGGAAATCTCCAGATTAAAATTGTGAAGTCAGACCCATAGTTACTTAGTGCAATTTGACCTGGCAACCCCCCTCCTCCCCAGGTCCAAAAGGTTATAAAGTTTAGTACTTTACACATACATGTACATGTTAYTGCTGGTTTGATTAACTTCATACATAACTTAGAAAGTCGATACTAGTAGGAAAGTCGTTCATCTGCTATAACTATTTATTCACAAAGATGAAAAACCAGAAACCACCCAGAAATTAAGTTATCTTTGACTCATCCCCTAGAAAAATATCAAAAAGATCATCAAATGTGCCAACACGTTTAACCCCCCCAGAAACTTGATTTTGAGATGTGGATATGAAATGGAATATGTCCAAACAAARCTTTGTTTTCAAAGAAAATCTTTAGAGGCAAAAACAGTGTTCATATCTATTTTAAAGAAAGATAATATTTCTTTATTTAAAATTGTCGTAGGCTTAAAAATGTTAAGCTATTTTAAGTTACCTCTTCAAACAGTTCAATGTTTTCGTCAATAAGTCCTTCTCCTATAACCACTTTAATGTCAGGTCGCTCTGGCTCACACACCATTTCTTCAATCAAGTGCCAAAGTAAAGGCTGAATCGAGAATTCTTCCAAAGACCATTCCATAACTTCATTGATATCGGCAACGTTATCATAACAAGACATGGATTCTCGATTAATATCAGCAAAAATACCTCATTTAAAACACGAAATCGTGTCGATAAATATTTCGTACGTATTGCTAGTAAAGCACATGCCAAACAAATGAAATGAAAACCAAATATTTCTTAGTTTTAAGACCTAAAATAGCAACTCAAATTTCGTTCTCAAGGACGCCATTTTGTTGCCTAGGTAGAAATGTACGCTAGAGATTGGGTTCTAAAGCACAGGAGTCCCGGTTTCCTAATACTCCAGTTTCGATCTTTTATTCTGCAAAGAATCTATTGTAATACAAACATTCTGTGTACAAAGAACACAAAAACAAAAACGTATTCTTAATTGAAGCTAAGCTTGCATAAAAGAGAATTCGAAACTGCTACTATTTTACATTCAAAACATTTATAAAAAGAATACTGGGAATGGGATCCTGAACTGAGATTCTATTAGTCCTATTAATTTGAAAGGCTGTCAAGTCATGTCAAAATTATGACTTTTTCACAAACAAAAATTATTATACATGGGATTCCAACCAAAGGAAGATCATGTCTAAAACTAGACGCTCCTGGAGCGTGAAGTCGGACTAGCTATTTTTGAAAATTGATTAAGACACGAGTGAAAGGCTTTAAACACGATAAGATTACGATGTTAYATTCTGTCTAATCATAGATGATTATATTATKAATGTAAATTATGGCGTAGAATATATATTTTTAATTCTAATACATAGTGAAAGCAAGAATGCGTTACTTTCACTTTAATTAATGTACTGTTCAAAACCGTTTATTSACACGATACGATATTCTATTTAACTGCTCTCTGCAACGACTTCAAAACGATWGAAATCTAAATTTGACCTAAAAGGTCATGAACTGTAATTTATACCCTGCGAAAAACTTACAACTGAAATGATAAAATCAAACGTGGTAGACTAAATGTCGCTAAGTGATATCATATCTAATACGTTTTTAATTCAAATTGTTGAACTCTTAGGCCAAAAAAAATTAATTTAAGTCTTTTATTTAAAAAATAAAAGATGCCTATAAAATAATCAAAGTCGCCTTTTGTCATTGATAAACAAAGTTTCTTCTTGTTCTAATTTGGAAATCTTTGCCCAAACAAGACTGTCTAGCGCTAGAATTCAGTTTCGTAAGCATACTACTCGAAGCTCCATGTGATCCGCACATGCGCGTACTTCTGATGTCAACTATTATCGTAATATTAATTAGATTTAGTAAAACATTAAACTCATAGAATGAATGCTGCATTGTTTATTATATT